TGTCTCTGTCTATTTCTATTTCTTTTTCTCTCTCGCGCGCGCTTTATGTCGCTCTGATTCTTAATCGAACTCTCTCTCTCTCTCTTTCTCGTTTTCTCTTTGACTCACTCACTTAGCCACTCAGCCACGCACGCACGCACGCACTCACTCACTCACTCACTCACTCACTCACTCACTCACGCACGCACGCACGCACGCACTCACTCACTCACGCACGCACTCACTCACTCACTCACTCACTCACTCACTCACTCACTCACGCACGCACGCACGCACGCACTCACGCACTCACTCACTCACTCACTCACTCACTCACTCACTCACTCACTCACTCACTCACTCACTCACTCACGCACGCACGCACGCACTCACGCACTCACTCACTCACTCACTCACTCACTCACTCACTCACGCACGCACGCACGCACTCACTTGCTAACACATACGCACCTATTACTATTACTATACATATACTTATACTACACTATACTTATATATTACTATTACGTATTTACTATACTTATACCTATACTTATTACTATACATACTACTATTTTACTATACTATCGTATACTATATATTACTATACTGTACTTATACAAAAATATCTTATACTATACTTATGAACTACACTACACTACACTACACTCACCTACACTACATCTGCACTGCACTGTACTTGCACTGCACTGCAACTGCATGCATCTGCCTCACTACACTACACTACACTAACTACACTACACTTATCACTACACTACACTACCTTACACTACACTATACTATAGCGTAGCACACACATACTATACGCGGGGTTTTGCCTATAGCTGAGCTTTAACGTTCCACGGGGACCGCTGGTCGGATTCACAGATTGAGCGCCTGACTGACTAGACGATGTTTACGACCTGAAAACCATGTATCCAAAATAATAATGAGGGCCAGGTCAACGCCTGTTCTCTTTGCCCCCGTCGGTGTAATATATTTAAGCATACCGGTACATCGAGCTATTTCGCCTGCGCGAGTGATGCATGGTTTATTATCGCACTAGTTCGGTCTCGTCCTCTTCACATCTTGCTTTGTCTAGTCACCCTAGTTTCGTCGCAATGAGTTTGCTCTCGTGTGATTGAAATGTTAAGCTTTTATTGGCCATCATGACTTTTAGGAAACGTCGTCTGAAATCATGACAAACTCGGTCTGCGTGGCGTGTGTGGGAGTGCCAGTCTTATATAAACATCGGTCTACAGCCGCTCTATGTGTCTTTGGCTTCCCGGTGTTGACCTGGTGTTGTTGTGGTTCAGTATTATATTGTATCGTCCTCCTTTTTATATTATCTAACAATTT